GCCTGCGGCTTGTTGTTCGCGAGATAGGGCGAGAGGGAGAACTCCTTAGCCATTGGTGTCTCTCTAGATCCTATTGAGGCACACAAGGGCTCAATAGCAGTGAAACAAACGGTTCGGTAGCTATTTCGAGCGATAACCGTCAACCTACACTCGTGACGTAATACTCGGTCTATTAGAACGATGAGGAGTTACAATCTGCAAAAGTCATTACAATGAAAGTAGACGAAATGACATTGATTTTCTAAATTACAGAAATTGATATGCTACATAGTGCATCAACAGACAATAATATACGATATACAGGAATTATGAATAATAAGGCTTGTACGTAGATCTACAGAAAGTTCAACAGAACAAGAGTAACTATGATAAAGCGAGTTTTGTTGCGTCGTTGATGTGCAGAAGCGTGAGAGAAGCCTAGAAGGTGTAATGAAATGAGATAGAGAGATCGATTAAGTATCGTTGATACGTGGGACTAGAGAAGCGATTCGACAGGGTAACAGAAATAGTGAGCAGCAGGAGCGTGAGCGAAGAGAGGCCAGATATGGGCAGGTGATGATAACGAGAAGAGAAACGAGTGGGTGTGGCTTGCATCCAGGACAATGGGAGAGGTAGTGGTTCGATTGACGCAGCAGTTAAGAGGTTAGGTCAGATCATAGATGCATGTGTAAGGAGTTTGAGTCCATCATGAGTGATCATACAGTCAGATTAGGGTTGGACATGTAATCACAAAGCTGTAATGTTGAAGAAAAGATCGTGAGTTATGCATTTTTCTCGGAGTTTTCTTTGTTAAAGAGGCATCGCGGCGGGTTTAAACCTTATGATGACTAAGAAAATACTGTTTTAAGGGTTTTCAATCAAGATACGCATAAAGTAATTTATTTTATTATAAAATCAGATAAAAACGTGTTTTAACTTAAGGGTATTTATGTCTTTCTTTTATGTATTTTTTTTCTAAACAGCATTACTGTTATGTGTGGAAAAGCAGAGTGGGTTGTATATAGCTAAACCTTAGTTTTGATTCCAAATAGGTTACTGTCACATCCATTCTCTGCCTTTCCGTTCCCCATGTGAAAATGTTTGTACCTTTTTAGGAAGTACCAGAAGTATGATGACCTTTCTCGGCAAATACTTTTCTTTCTTTAACTACAAAATGAAAATGTTATTTAAAATGGCTCGGGTGGAGAGCGTATTCATTACATCACAGTGAAACTTTTCATGCGTGTTCGAATGTGTTGTGATAATTCCGAAGTTTGATGTTTTGGCTTATTCCCATCCATGTGTTGAAGTTAGTACCAAGACATAGAAGATGGAACGGACAATCCTTAGATTTTGTATATATAGTTTTGATATTAGGGGAAAAACGTAAACTCTACAAAGGAGAAAAAAGTTTCGACAAGTGAAATGCAATGTGACCATCCTTATCTACAGACATTGGTGTTGAAAGCGGCACGAGCATATGTCTACCCAGTACTGCACTTCAGAATCTTCTCATCTGCGATGCTTTCCTTTTCAACAACAGCAAATTTGATCCTAGAGAACGTATCGCAGAGTTATCTGAACAGTTAATTATTTTTTTTGCTTTGTTTTATTTATGATTTTTTTTGTTTATGATTTGATTTTGTTTTTTTTTTTTGGTAGAGGCAGACCTGGTACTCGCTCCTTCATCAAAACTAATGTTTCCCATATATTGAATTAGTGTCATTCTCTTGGCGAAAGTTGCAGCAGGAAGTTCGGAAAGGGAACTTGAGAACAAAGCATACCTTAGGAAAACATTCAGTAGTGCATCAGAATATATTGTGCTCTGCCATAAAGTCAATACGTTGCACGTGAGTATTTTCCCGTTGGATGGCAGAGAATGTAGTAAGCTCGGCGTCTATTTTATATTCGGTGAAATAACAAAGGTCAAAAGATGGATATAAAATGCATTGAATATTAAATATCAAAAACATAAATAGCTCAATTCACCAAAGATTAATAGAAGCCACGAGGTATGCAGATGTGACGTTCAAAACGCCTCATACCTCCAGAAAGAGATGAGAGACTTTTAATAGTTAGGTTGAAGAATAATATTTTGACTGTAGAGCGAGTGCTGTAGGAGAAAAAGTTAATGTACGGAATAGGTGTGTCTCCAGTTTTATTCTTAATCATGAATTTAAGGAACGCAGGTCAGACAGGTCATTCGAATTTCGCTGGTGCTTTTATAGATAATGGACTCATTTGACATGCAATGAGAAAAGCGTTATCTCCGAGCCGTAAGGAGAGGTGTAAAGCACTTATGTCTCTACTTTGGTCAACCTTCAAACTGTTTATCCATTTTTTCTCAACTTCCTTTTTCAAGTGACTTATCTAGTGTATCTCTTCGCTTTATTGATGTTTCCCATTAACACGGATTAAGAGAGGTGATCAGATTATGAATGATGAGATTAACATAATGAGTCAAGGATAGACTTATCCAATCAACGTCCTTACTTAGGGCTTTTTGAGTGTCCATAAACTAAAGTAACTTTTCCCGTTCAGATTCATGCAATTGAATTGAAGGAAAAGAAACCAAGCTGCATTACTTGTAGATGGATAACATTACTACCTGTCAGTATCCTGAGTACATATTGGAGCCATAATTAACTGAGGCGGTGATCGCTAATTCATTGTTGAGGTCGAGGTACTTCTGCACAGGAAGAGTAAGATGAAACAGCGAGTTTAGTAACTTTCTCTTATTGGAATTCAACGCTAGGGCATGAATATATGAAATGAGAAATCAAGCTGCATCAGGCATATTTGCAACCGAGATGACTCGTTCTAGGCATTGCGGTGACGAAGCTAGCATGGAAGTAAAAACTAGGATACGGTATAAATAAAGGTCCAAATTCGTTCGTAGTTGGGCTCCAGTTAGCTGAAAAGACAGATCTACTGTGCCAGTCGCTCGCGTCTCCGCTACTTGGTGCGCAATTTTGCTCGCGGCGAGTCTCACCGTCTAACGTTTCAGATTTTTACGCTCCAATCGGAGTTCTTGCCCGCCGCCCAGACTATGTGGCATGGCGCCGAATTAAGGTGAATATGTCACTCTTTCCTCTTATACCGTATATAATTTCATACTATCCATTCCACTGGAGCGTGAATCTGTCTTAGAAACCGTACGATTGCATCTCGTGGCTTGGCTCAAGCCTCCTGTGCACTATTTTATGGGCAGGTTCTACATACGTATCTTTATGTATAGAGGCGACCTAACGTCCTCAAATAATTTCAGGCAAGCACAACGTTCACTGCATATGTATGATACTAGAACACAAGCATATACGTAAATACATAATTAATTATATAATATACAACGACTGAATAACATAATATAAATTATTGATAATGTTAATAGCT